GAGTGCAATTGTGCAGTAGTTTGAGCATTCTTTGGCATTGCCTTTCTTTGGGATTGGAATGAAAACTGACCTTTTCCAGTCCTGTGGCCACTGCTGAGTTTTCCAAGATGGAGAAGTTCTATACAGTCAGTAGAAAAAAGACCGGGAGCTGACTGTGGCTCAGATCATGAACTCCTTATTGCCAAATTAAAACTTAAATTGAAGAAAGTAGAGAAAACCACTTGACAATTCAGGTATGACCAAAATCAGTCCCTTACGACTATATTGTAGGTAGGAGTGGTAGAACTCAAAACACTGAAGGGAAGTAAAATTCCATCCTGGGGGCTTAGCCAGAGATTTAGGCACTTAGGTTTAAAACTAAGATAATGGAGAGAAAAATCTATCCAATATTTTTTCCATAGACTACTGTACCATTATGGACTTCCAGAAGTTATTGACTTCTCAAGTACTGGAAAAGTGAGTGAAGTCTAGTTCTTCTCATAAAACTTTCTGTCCAAATTTTGACTATTTTTTTTTATAATTGCTTTGTGTCAATTCTTAGTAACCAAACCATTTCTATAAGAAAATGTTCCATGTTTTAAGGAAGGAGTCCTTGGGAGGTAAACTCTTGAAAACAATCTGGAGCACCAGCCCCCTCCATCAATACACACAAGACAGGAGTGTCCTAATTACAGAGAAAAATCCAACTAATTCAAATATAAGAAATAAAAAGAAAATGAGCACAGCATTCATACAAAAAAAATATACCATAAGAGAAAAGTGAAGAACAGAACAAATTTCCTCCAGACCTGTTACAGACTTAACTGTGTTCCCTCCAAATTCATATTGATTTCTGTATGTTAATATTATGAGTCACTTGCTTACTTAATCCTTTTATGTGTGTTTTATCATTCTTTGTCTAGGGTTTTCAAGTCAATTTATCATATCATCTGCAAATATAGTTTTCATACTTCTTTTGCAATTATTATGCTTTTAACTAGTTTCTGTGATGTATTCAAGCATGAATGTATGTAATATGCTGAGATGAGCAATAGCAATTAGTTAGGAGATTTATAAGGTAAATTCAGTGGGGATGTCTACTTTAGCCTGTTCCTATTGGTCTTCAAAGCATTCTACACACAAACTGCCTGAGTTAAAGGCAAGAACACTAAATATAGATCCCTTATCTGATTTAAATAGCAGAATAGATAGTTTGCTCACTTCTAGCCTGAATACATTTGTATGGAAATGCATCTTCTTTGAAAAAGTTGGCTTAAAACTCAACATCCAGAAAACTAAGATCAAGGCATCTGTTCCCATCACTTCATGGCAAATAGGTGGGGAAACAATGGAAACAGTGACTGAGTTTATTTTTTTGGGCTCCAAAATCACTGTGGATGGTGATTGCAGCCATGAAATTAAAAGATGCTTACTCCTTGGAAGGAAAGTTATGACCAACCTAGACAGCATATTAAAAAGCAGAGACATTACTTTGCCAACAAAGGTCCATCTAGTCAAGGCTATGGTTTTTCCAGTGGTCATGTATGGATGTGAGAGTTGGACT